CATGCAGCACACAGTTAGATTTTGCTGCTATGTCAGTCATAGCGTGCCACATAAACACATCAATACAGTGACATAGGGTTATGTGTAGACATGCCCAAAGTGCATTAAGTCAATATTCTCCACTTTGCACTCACTAGTAGAATTTTATCGCTTCGCACAGGCTTCTCACAAGCCTAAGTGACGAGTCAAACTACCTAGTAGAAAAGAATCATGTACCAAGATCAGTTTTATTCAGCTTCTATTTTACAGTTTGGGTACATACAGGCATTACATTTATGTCACTCTAACAAGGGTTAGGTCAATCTAAATGTCCAATCATACATGCGTGCAGAGGTCTTAAATTGCTCCAAAAATTAGGTGATCAATCTCAGCTCACCTGAGAAGGTGCACTAACTTAGATTGAAACCCAATTGAAAAAAGGGTTAATCTGATCTCACAAATGCTTAGACATGTTCACAGTGCAGACCTGGAGCTGGGAAAGCCCAACCAATCATCCTAGCCTCCAGACTGTATTATTCCCACCCCACCCTGACCCCAACTGGGAGATCTGATCCCAACTGAAGAGCAGGCTCCATTCTATTCCAGGCAGCAAAACCATGACATAAGATCACGCACCATATGTTATTGCTTATTTCTATCCCTAGACAGCATGCTATTTGAATAGACTTTGTGTATTTATTTATTTTGTTATCCTATGAGTGACATATCCAGAAAACAAAAGAATACAGTAAAACAGAAACAGGTCATCAGAGCTTTGAATTCTTACTGAATTGGAACAATTGCCTCTTGAATAGGGTTTCCAAAATTTCACATTGGCTTTATCAAAGTATTTCTGATCACTGAGGTTGAAACATTTCATTTCACCACTATTTTTATGCTAATGTTGTGCAATATTATAAAAAACTAAAATGTAAGGCAAAAGTCAAACAGATAAAGATAACAGATATGTCACAGTGACACATTCTGGCATTGTCAAAATGAATTATTTGGTAATTTTTCATTGAAAATGTTGATGAAGTCAATATGGATTTGTGGAGCATTTTAGTCAAGTCAGAATTTTCTGATAGAAGAAATCTGCTGGAAAATCTTTGACTAGCTCCAGTAATCAGTGAAATTGACCTCAGGGCAGAGGTGAATTCACTTAATCCTCACATTAAGGATTTAAGTAGGATTTAATGTGGTGTTAGGACTTTGCTTGCTACCTTTGTACTGGAGTCAGTTTTTTTCCCCCCAACAAAAATACAACAGTATCTATGACACTCTAATGATGGAAAGCCTAGAAACACTTGAAAAACACAGACAGGAGAGATCAGAGGTAATTTCCTTCTCAAAACACTATATAAAATCCACCAGTGAACAAGAAATACAGCCAAGCACACCTTAAATAGATAAGGGGAAAATGGTAATTTTTTGGCAAATGCATTTCCCATACATCTAGAACATAAAAAAAAAAAAAAAAAAAAAAAAAAAAATTAAAAAATATTATACTTTTA